CTTTCTTTCTTTCTTTCTCTTGGTTTTTCGAGACAGGGTTTCTCTGTAGCCCTGGCTTACCTGAAACTCACTCTGTAGACCAGGCTGGCCTTGAACTCATCCGCCTGCCTCTGCCTCCCAAGTGCTGGGATTAAAGGCGTGTGCCACCACTGCCCGGCAAGGGAGGTGTTTTTAAGAGCTAATGTTTTTCCCCTTCTAGTTCCCCAAAGAGAAATGAGTTGGTCGTTTTGAGAGTTTCCCAGGTGTGATCACAGCATCTTCTCTAGCCCAGCCTCCTCCAAAACTCCACTATATAACCCAGGCTGGCCTGAAACTCTAGAAGTTAAGTTACAATGTGCCTCAGGCTGCTGAATGCTGGGATTGCAGGTGTGGGACAACATCCTACCACAGCACAGTAGATTATATACCCTGCCAAAGCCACTTAATTTGCATATCTTGAATTGCTGATGGGGCTGGAACTCAGAATTCTAGTCAGAATTTTAGCTGCTTGTACTTCCTCTTCTGTGAATCTTCTGTCCTTTAGATTGTTCTGCTTAGTGGTGTCAGGACAGACTGCAAGCTGTGGCTAGCCAGGTGAGCTGGCTTGTAACTGAGAGGGACATTGTGGAGAAAATGGGTTACAAGGAAGTCTGCAGAGCCTGGCAACAATGCCCCTCTGATAAAGGGCCATTGCTGGTGGTAGCTAGCACTTGGCACTAGCTGTGATTTATTAGACTACCGGTCTCGAAGCCCCAGATGTATGAAGAACTGTGTCCGTTTTACAGAGGAAACTGGTATTGTGTGCCTAGAAGCGTAAAGGCACTTGGTCCAGAGACATGTCCACTCATGAGTGGCACTTTCACAGAAGCCCCAGATGGTAGGGGACACAGATGGGTTGTCTAGGAGCCTAAACATCACGCGCATGTGGATGTCAAGACCACTGGGTGAGGCTTGATGCAGATGAACTTGCCCCACCGCAGCTAGCCAATGGAGACCATTGGTACAGACACCTGTTTGGTTTCTCCCACTCCTAAGTAGTAAGATTTATAAGAAGTGTCTTTTCCTTAGGCAACTGTTACATCTGTGGCTGTATCCTTAAGCAAACTCTATCTTCTCTTACAGACCATGGCTCCTTGGCCCGAGTTGGAAAATGCCCACCCCAACCCCAATAAATTCATCGACGGGGCCTCAGGTCCACAGTCTAGTGCACCTGCCAAAGACAAGGAGGCCAGCAAAAGTAAGTGCCACTCACCCATGGGACAAGCCTCCCTTGAGGACCCATGGAAATTCCGCTCCCATTCCTCATGGCCTTTGCTACTTTGTTTCAGCAAATGACAGCGGGACTCCTGTAGCCAAGATTGAACTTCTACCTTCCTATTCCGCCCTGGTTCTCATAGAGGAGCACCCTGAGGGGACTGACCCCTGGGACCTGCCTGAACTCCAGGACACTGGGATCAAATGGTCAGGTAAGTGGATGTCCAGCATCCAGCAGAGGCCAGAAAGAGGACCTAGCCTGTTCACAGCATTTACCTTTGTAAATGCTGTCTCCTGTACCAGGGTTCTAAAGCAGAATAACTAGGGGACTCTTTGAAAGAACAAAGTACCAGGGAACAAGGTCATGACAGGTTTTGCATATGCTGGTTATGTTAGGCTTTATAAGAGGTGTTGAGAATACATCAAGAAGACCTGGGGTGAGCAAGAGCTTATTTCCATTTCAGGGGTGAGGTTACAGCACTCTTTCCCCTCTGACTCTCTAGACACATACAGGAGGGTTCAGCAGTGGAAGACTGCCTCACATCCAGGCCTTGATATAGAAGCCAGTTGGTAGAAGGGAGAGCTGTTATGCAAGCTTCCTTGCTAAGCATCTCTGCCCCATCCTTAAGGACTGTTGTGCCTTTCCTCTTACAGAGAGAGACACCAAAGGGAAGATTCTCTGCATTGTCCAGGGAATTGGGAAATTCATTCTTCTCCTGGGGTTTCTGTACTTGTTCGTGTGCTCCCTGGATGTACTCAGCAGCGCCTTCCAGCTTGTTGGAGGTAAGGACCCTAAGGCTGGAGGTGGGTTACTCTTGACTCCTGATTTTTCAATTCCAGTGGGCTTCTCACAGGCCCTCTCCTACATACTTCAAGATGGCTTTCAACCCTTATAGAGCAGAGAACAAAGCAGCTAAGTGGCTCTGGATTAAGCTAGGAGCCTGGGCTGGACCTAATGTCAGCTACTAGAATCCTTTCCATTGTACTCAACCCCCAGCAGGAAGCTGTTTGACTCCCTTTATCTGGAGGATCCCTGCTGCCTCAAGGCTTCTGTCTAGAGAGTTTGAAAAAGGAATGGTCCCTTAGGCCAAATCAAGTAGGAAAGATCAAAGCTGACCCACAGTAGATCCCTTCCCTGGTCTGAGCTTGGACACATTGGCCAGCATTCCAGAAAGCCCAGAAAATGTTCATGCATGCTCAGTTAACTTTGGACCCTCTCTGGGTGACAACAGATAGATAGCACACTGAGTGACCCTGTCTGGAATAGTCCTCCCTAAGGTCCCTCCCACATGGAAGAGATGACCAAGGCTCAGAGGTCACTTACTAACCACACTTTAAACACAGCCTGTAATGAACACAGTAGGATTCCTGAGCACTGCTCAGGGTAACACAAAAAAGACTGGTTTTCTTCTGCTTTTGCTGCCTTAGGCTAGATAGAAACAAATAGTCTTTTTGAGACAGGGTCTTTATGTCACCCTGGCTGTTCTAAAATTCCCTATTTAGACCAGATTGTCCTTCAGCTTTTCTGTCCACCTGCCTCTGCTGTAATTAAAGGCATACACCACCTCATCCTTCCCAATCCTGTTTTAGGACAGGGTTCACTATTTCTGATTGGCTTCCGACTCATGGACATCCTTATGTCTCTGCCTCCCAAATTCTGAGATTAAAGGCATGGGCTACCATGCCTAGCTGACATGATTGTTTGACCTAAGAGATGAGGGGTGGATGGTAGGTCACTCGTTAAGGGGCCACATTGTTGAGTGTAAGTCTCCTTACTAACCTTTAGGGACATTCATAAGGGGCCTGGTCTTATGGTTACCTTAGACAACGTACATACAGACTGTAGGCCTCCATTATAAAATGGGTTGAGTGAGGAAAGACTGAGGGTCACATACACTCCCAAAAGACTCCTGTAGAATTCAGGCTACAGCTTAAGGCATTAGGGACTAGAGGATCTACTTAAAGAGCTTAGGGCCAGGTTCTTGAATAAAGATGACTGGACAAAGTCTGGCTGACTGAGGAGTGGAGGGCGGAAGTTAAAGATGGTAAGAATGGAGGCTCACATGGACAAACAGCTTCCCTTTCAGGACAATGCAGGGGAAAAAAAAACAGGAAGAAAGAAACGTGGCCAAGCTGAGTTGAGGGCTGGGTTCCTACTCTACAGCCAGCCAGCCTTGCGTGGACACTTGGGACTCTGGCACCATTCACAGCCACCTTCCAGTGACCACTATTTGTCTTCTAGGGAAAATGGCGGGCCAGTTCTTCAGCAACAACTCCATCATGTCTAACCCCGTGGCTGGGCTGGTGATAGGGGTACTGGTGACGGTCATGGTTCAAAGCTCCAGCACGTCTTCTTCAATTATTGTCAGCATGGTCGCTTCCTCACGTGAGTTGGGGACTTGCTCTCTGGTTTATAATCTAGGCGGCACCACACTTATCTCCCCATCTTTTTTTCCCCTTATGGTAGTATTTTAGCCAAACTTTAAAAATTTTTCTACATAGTAAGTTTTGAGGCCAGCCTAAGTCAAACCACACAATATTTTGAAATAAATAAATGTGTCCTCAGCTCTGAGGCTCATCCGTTCCCTTAATCACACACTGATTCCTGGGATCCCGTGAGATGGGGGGACAGAGGGGCTTTACGGGGGGTCTGCTGGTATGCTAAAATTATATCGAATAACGGGGTACATGCAGATTTAACTCCCCTCTCTGGATTTTAATAGCTGTGCAGTGCTATGTATGACACACCACCTCACAAAGAATCTGAGAACTGCTTTCTAGAATAATTAGCTGGAGTGTGTTCATCCCACACTAGGGTGTGTGGAGCATGACTCCCCTACCTGCAAGTTCCTTTATTTACTGTTCTTTTTTTTACCCTTCAGTGCTGACCGTGCGGGCCGCCATCCCCATCATCATGGGTGCTAACATTGGAACCTCCATTACCAATACAATTGTGGCACTTATGCAGGCAGGAGACAGAAATGAGTTTCGAAGGTAGGTGATTCAGGGCAGGTTTTGTGCCCACTATTTGTGCCCACAATGCCCTTAAGGTGTGCTTGACTGCTAACCTGGAGTCTCTATAGAGTCCAACGAGGGTTGGGAATCTCAGATTAAAATCCACTTAGTACTTACTGATCTGTAAAGCTAGAATAATATCCAGCACCAATAAGTTATTGTAATGATTAAACAGCCATAAGAGGCAAGCACATGGCATCTTCTCACTCATGGAGCCTGAAAAGAAGCACCAGCTAGACACGTACTGCTGGGTGGTAGTCTTAGCAAGGCCAGTTGGGTGGAGCAGACTTTGTTGTCTCGCTTAGTCATAGATAATTATAACTTCCTAAAACTCTCATTTTAGGCTAGCTCTGCTAATACTATCTCTTCACCTGTAAGCCAGCATGGGCAAATATAGCTTATGACGTGTGAGGTACGAAAATAGGGCAGTTGGAAATAGACAAAGGGAAACCCTCTGTCTCAGTGTCAGAATAGGAATGAAGGACATCTCCCAGCTTCTTTTCTGACCAACCAGCCACAGACTCTTCCCAGAGCTTATTAAAATATAGAAGTGATTCCCAGCTTGTCTATGATGCCATCCTGGTGCGGTCAAGAAGCTGGCATTATAGCCAGTTTTGGGGGAGAATGTCATGTTTGTCGTGTCTGCCGGTGAATCAACAGGGGATGCTATCACCGTGGTCCATCTACCTGAGCCACCTCTCATTTGGTCCCTGATGACATGTCTTGATGGACATGATAACACACATTAAGACAGGCACTCTCTAATTTGATCACCTCATGAAACCAGACAGCCTTCCCTATATCCCCCACCATATTCATCTTGAAGCCAAAGGAGACAAAGTGATGTCATTGACTGGCCCCAGCCAGGATTCCAGTTAGGTTTCAGTTCTGGAAAAGTTTGGCTCATCTTGTTTATACCATTGCTTCCTTGTAGCCTATAGACAAGAAGCCTAAGTAGGACCGAATGAGTTGCCTACGTGTTGGGATATAACTGACTTAGCTTACCAACCCCCCCCCCCCCGAGTGTGTACATTTCAGTGTGCTTTGCATAACCAATATTGGTTATATGTGGCATCCTTCTTGAAGGTTTGGGTTATTGCCTTAAATAATTACTGTATCAACTGGTTATAGAGCTCCTGTACATTTTACCAAGCACCAGGAAATCTGTGAATCATTTTCTATGTCATCAGCAGTGTATGAAAATGTCTTTGGTTGCCTTCTTCAGGAAGAATGAGACTCTGTATACTAAGCACACCTAGTGGTAGTATTTTCAGTTTTTTCAAGACAGGGTTTCTCTGTGTAGTCCTGGCTATCCTGGAACTCACTCTGTAGACCAGGCTGGCCTTGAACTCAGAAATCCACCTGCCTCTGCCTCCCAAGTGCTAGGATTAAAGGCGTGCGCCTCCACTGCCTGACTGAAAATGTTTCTAAAAAGAGCATTTTAAAACTTTTATTGAGGAAAAAAAGACTCAGGCAGAGTTGTTGCTTTGTTGCTTTTTGCCTTGCTTGGCATAGTTTCTTAACTTGAAAAGTTTTTTTTGTTTTTTGTTGTTTTTTTGTCTCAGAAGTTTGCGAATTGAAGGTTAGGAACTCAGGAGCTGGAGAAATGGGTCAAGCACTTATTTTTCTTTCAGAGGATCTGGTTTCCACCACCCATAGGGTGGCCCATAACTGTAGTTCCAGTTTCTAGGCTTCTGATGAGACTTAAACTGGCATGCACATACACTCAGACATACACATACACAGTTAATGGTGGCCTTTCATCCCAAAATTTGGGAGTCAGAGGCAGGTGGATCTCTGAGTTCAAGTCCAGGACAGCCAGAGCTGTTGCACAGAGAAACCCTGTCTCAAACAACCCTCCCCACACCCAAAAAAGAGCTCAGTTGTTCAGGAAGTCCTGATTGTCTGCCCCACTACTCTCTACCTTTCAAAAGACAGGTTGCCTTCCAAGCAATTTAAAAAGTGAGTGGTCTAGGCATGGTTAAAGAGGTGGCTCCATGGTCCTTGTTGGTCTTGCAGAGGACCTATGTTTGATTCTCGGCACCCATATAGTGACCCTCAACTATAGTAACTCCAGATCCAGGTGGCTCAACAGGCATGGATGTGGTACACATACAGAAAATCTAGGGAAAACATTCATAATTCTAAATCTTTATTAATTTTTATTGTGTTTGCCTTTAATGTGTGTATGTATGCACCATCTGCATACCAGGTGATACTGAAATTGTGGGTTCTGGGAATCAAACCCAGGTTCTGAAGAACGGCCAGTGCTTTTCACTACTGAGCTACTTTTTCCAGACTTAAAATTTTGGACAAGGAGGGCCTGGGGGAAGTCTTAATGCAGTTCGGCTATACAGTGGCTGTTAGGATTCCACTAAAATACTATACTGGTCAGCAAAGTCTTCCTAGACCAGCCACCTGTGTGTACTTAGGTGGCTGTCTTGCACCCCTCCCTCAGAATATAATATGGCTCTGGTGGCTTCCTTTCCACAGGGCATTTGCAGGGGCCACTGTCCATGACTTCTTCAACTGGCTCTCCGTGTTGGTGCTCTTGCCTCTGGAGGCTGCTACCCATTACCTGGAGATCCTGACTAACCTTGTGTTGGAAACCTTCAAGTTCCAGAATGGAGAAGATGCCCCAGACATTCTGAAAGTCATCACAGACCCCTTCACCAAGCTCATCATCCAGGTAATGAGCATGTTAGTACAGCTCACATCTCCATGAGCCTAAAGAGGCCAGAGAGCAGGACATATGCCATAGGAGGCAGCAGTTAGGGATATCTGTCAGTGCCACCCATATTTCTTTGACGTAGCTTGGTTTACTCTATTAGGAGTGGGGGGCTAATTGGGTGAGGGTAGAGGTACTTCTGAGAGATAAGCAGTGAGCATATTGATGGTTATTCCTCTTTCCCAGCTGAGGCCAGTCATGCCTTCTGATCTTTGCTCTGTCCTAAATATGGGTGGAAAGGACCTGCCAGGACTTTGACTTAAACAGTTGGTCTCTACAACCTGCAGGCTATCAGTGCCCTTACCATATAGTCACGCTCTGACACTCCGCCAGTTCCTAGGGCAGTGGTGCTCGGCCTTCTTGATGCTGTGACCCTTTAATACACTTCCTCATGTTGTGGTGACACCCCAATCATAAAATTATCGATTTCCAATGATCTTAGGTGAACCTTAGGTGTTGAGAACCATAGGTTGAGAGCCACTAGCTCTAGGGGCATAATGCTGTCCTCAGCTGGAGGTTGGGACTAGGGGAAGGTATAGTTCTTTACGTATAGGGTGTGTCCGGTGGCTCACTTTCACAGCCAAGGCCCCCTGACAGCAACCACTCTGTCAGGCATCACTTCTGAGGATATGCTGACCGATTCCCCACCCGCATTGTTCCCCTCAGCTGGATAAAAAGGTCATCCAACAAATCGCGATGGGTGACTCGGCAGCCCAGAACAAGAGCCTGATCAAGATCTGGTGTAAAAGTATAAGCAATGTGGTAAGTGTCAGAAAAGTGAATGTCAACCGAAGGGTTCACAAGCAGCAAATCAGAAGTCAGGGAGGGAGGAAAATTGGGCAACTGGAAGTCACATTTGGCCTCTGCCTTTGAGGGAGACAGCCACCTTCGCATTACTGGTAGATGTGCACAGCTTGGCCTGGTATAATGCTCGCGTGTCTCACTGAAGGCTGACTCTTTGGCTTGTTTTAGAGACCGTGAACTCTGTGCCCCACAGCACAAATGTAGACCTCAGGGGCATCACACTTTCCAGACTGTTTTCTGAGGAGACACACATCATGGCTTGTACTAGGAACGTGCTGCGTAGTGTGGGTGCCGCTCACCCTTAACTCTGGGGTGGAGTCTACATGTGCATGCATGTTACACTAAAGGCTGGTGATAAAATAAAAAAAAAATGAAACAGATTTTATTTGTCCCCAAGGTTCCAAGAGATTTTCAAAACAGGGAAGGAAAGCACCCTATGATGGAGGCATTGTACAGACCCAAGGATAATGTCTAATTTGGTCCCCACTTAGTTATTTCCCACCATGGTTGCACCTCATGTTTGTCATTTTTGTTTAGACTGAGATGAATGTCACCATCCCCTCACCGGATAATTGCACCTCTCCTTCATATTGCTGGACTGATGGCATACAGACCTGGACCATCCAGAATGTGACCCAGAAAGAGAATATTGCTAAATGTGAGTGGGAATTGACTGGCTGGCCAGCTGGGTGGAGCCCAGTGATTACTATGCTGGGCCTTCTGGTGACTCCCTGCCACCCGAAGAGCTTGTGATGGGATTCCACAGTGCTCTCCGTGTGCCTTAGGATCCCTTTGTCAATAAGTCAGGGGTAATTGATGGCTTGGTTTGATTATGGGGTCTGTTTACTTAACGAGCCCCCTCTGAGCAAGGCACTAAGCCCACCTGATAACTTGTATATTTTAGGAAGCCCTTCATCCTTTTTTTAAAACTTTTTATTTATTTATTATATGTAAGTACACTGTAGCTGTCTTCAGACACCCCACAAGAGGGTATCAGATATCATTACAGATGGTTGTGAGCCACCATGTGGTTGCTGGGATTTGAACTCATGACCTCTGGAAGAGCAGTCAGTGCTCTTAACCACTGAGTCGTCTCACCAGTCCCCGCCCTTCATCCTTTTAAGCTTTCTGGAATCCCACTTTCTCCCGTATCCCACCACCATGTTTTGGTGTGATTATCCCTGCAGATTCAAGTGAACTGGTCATCGCTGATGCCTAGCTGCTATCTGTCAGAACTATGGTTTGGTTTCTTGGATTTGTCACAAGGGCTACATAGGAAGGACTTTAGTTATGTCTCAGTGCTTTGTAGTAACAATCACTAGTGAAAGCATCAAGGGGTCCAGTGGTAGAATTGGGCTGGGCACCAGGGCCTGCCCAGCACAAGCTCAGTGGTTTAAGGAGTGTTTCACTTTCCAGTCTCGTAGTGTAATTTTTTGTTAACACAAACCAGGGTCAGGCCTGGTGGTGCCTGCTTTTAATCATAGGAGGTAGAGGTAAGAGAGATCAAGTTAGTCTCCCTGTTGGAGACCAGCCTGGGCTTTTACCAGATCCTTTCTCAAAAAAAAAAAAAAAAAAAAGATGCTGGAGAAGTGGCTCAATAGTTAAACTCACATACCGCTCATGCAAAGAACTGCAGCTTACAACCACCTTGTATGTCAAGGGTAATTCTGACTTCTGGTATATATAGGTACCCAGCATGGGCATTCACAGACAGGTGTGCACTCAGCCAGGTATGTGCACACACACATACACAATCTTTTTTTAAATGGCTTATTAAAAGTTTTCTTTTTAAAGTTAGCAAAACAACATTGTGTGTCAAGGCAAGCTGCAAAAGATACCATATGTCTAGTTGCCAGGCAAGATTGTTTCCATGAGAAAGAAGGAATAGATAACAATCTGGACAGGGTGGGCCCCGACTTCCTGACAAGCCTGTTTGTGTCTCTTCAGGTCAGCACATCTTCGTGAATTTTGAGCTCCCGGACCTTGCTGTGGGCATCATCCTGCTTACCGTCTCCCTGCTGGTCCTCTGCGGCTGTCTGATCATGATAGTCAAGCTGTTGGGTTCTGTGCTCAGGGGACAGGTTGCCACTGTCATCAAGAAGACCCTTAATACTGGTAGGCCCAACGCTTGAACTCTGTTTCTAGCCTTTGGGGATGGTCGTGTGTGTGTGTGTGTGTGTGTGTGTGTACACTTGAGTAGGGCCCTGAACATATTTACATCTCAGGGTTGTCAGGAGAGGGATCCCTGTGCTTAGGTGTTTGTCAGAACCAGGGCCCAATTTCATGCAGACAGTACATGTGTGAGCTCATAGCTCATCCCCGAGTGTGCAGTGATACCAGGCCAGGCTGAGGAGGAGGAGGTGTATTTTTAGATCCATCTTTGGCTTAATGTGAACTTGGCAGGATGATGTAGATTAGGGAAGGGTTTTAGAAAGCTACCTGATAATTTCAGGTCACGTGTGGGGTTCACTCACCCTAACTTGCTCCAATTCTAAGGAATTACCAGTGGTCCCTGGTACTCATGACATGCCCTCTTTCTTTGTCTTCCAGATTTCCCCTTTCCCTTTGCCTGGCTGACTGGTTACCTGGCCATCCTTGTGGGGGCAGGCATGACATTCATCGTGCAAAGCAGCTCTGTGTTCACCTCTGCCATGACACCACTTATCGGTGAGGCTTTGTCCCTGGCTTCTCCACCAGAACCCCATTGCCTCTTCCCATGATTACTGCTGTTGCTGATGCCGTGTGTTCTATGCTTTCTCAACAGGTATTGGGGTGATCAGCATTGAGAGGGCATATCCACTCACGCTGGGCTCCAACATTGGCACCACCACCACTGCCATTCTGGCTGCCTTAGCCAGCCCGGGCAACACCCTGAGGAGTTCCCTCCAGGTCAGCAACTGCTACTGGGCTCTGGGTGGGATAAAACCTGTCTGTGGTTTTGCAGACAGTGGTTTGTTTTGAGTTCAAGTCAGACTCTCATGAAGCCCATGCTGGCCCCAAATTCATAAGAAATGGCCTTAAGGGGTCCTGCACCCTCTGTGCTGGGATTGGATGAACACTGCCATACTTAGCATGTAGACCATTTTCTAATTCACTCTGTTATATCCATAACTAAGGATAGCTAAGATACTGGGAGAAGCCACAGGGAGTTTTGTATGAGGACAGTCAAACATGGGTTCCTAAGAGGTGGGCATGTAAAACATCTACTCGGCCGAGACAATGGGCCGAAAGCATGGTGAAGTGACAAGAAAACCCATGTCAGGTGACACCTTCAGGCCTGGAAGCTGAGCTATTCAGTGGGGTTACTTCTTTCTCTGATCTCCAGACAGTAAAGTGTGTGTTCACAAAATATACCGCTCTGCACACAAGGATGACCTTGGGTGACCTTTATTTCTTCCCACTCTCTGTTACAGATTGCCCTGTGCCATTTCTTCTTCAACATCTCTGGAATATTGCTGTGGTACCCAATCCCATTCACCCGTCTGCCCATCCGTCTGGCTAAAGGCCTGGGCAACATCTCTGCCAAGTATCGCTGGTTCGCAGTCTTCTATCTCATCTTCTTCTTCTTCCTGACCCCGCTGACAGTGTTCGGCCTGTCTCTGGCAGGCTGGCCAGTGCTGGTGGGTGTGGGTGTACCCATCATTCTCCTGGTGCTCCTGGTCCTGTGCCTCCGGATGCTGCAGTCCCGCTGCCCTCGCATCCTGCCCCTGAAGCTCCGGGACTGGAATTTCCTACCCACATGGATGCACTCTCTGAAACCCTGGGACAATGTCATCTCCCTGGCTACCACCTGCTTCCAGAGGCGCTGTTGCTGCTGTTGCCGCGTGTGCTGCCGTGTCTGCTGCATGGTGTGTGGCTGCAAGTGCTGTCGCTGCAGCAAGTGCTGTAGGGACCTGGAGGAGGAAGAGGATGGAAAGGAGCAAGATATCCCAGTCAAGGCTTCTAGAGCCTTTGACAATGCAGCTATGAACAAAGAATGCCAAGATGAGGACAAGGGCCAAGTGGAAGTTGTGAGCATGAAAGCCCTGTCCAACACTACAGTGTTCTAGGGGCACCTAGGAGTCAGGGGTGAGGAGGACCTAAGTCCCATGAGATCCACCCCTCCCATAGGTGTCTCCTGCCACCTCACTAGGATTCCTGATGAACAGATAGATAGTATCAGCCTATAGGTGAATTGGACTTATCTCGTTCCCTGCTTCTCAAGTGCCTTCCTCTCAGAAGACAATACAGAGAGATTTAAACTGTGACCCGTGACCGTGACCCCACAGATGACCACATCCACCTCTGGCCTATAATTCGTTCAAAGTCCATCCTCACCCAAAGGCCAAGTGTTAAGGGAGGCATTAGGGAAGGTTCTGGAAAGATCCAGTGTAAAGAATATTTGTAAATATATGTACAAAGCAGTCATTTCTTGGTTAAAAACCTCAGTCACATCTTTTTTTTTTTTTTAAATCAAAGTCTACTCCCCCTACCCAATAGCTCCGCCTATTCATCCCTGCTCCAGAACAGCTAAGTTCAAACACTGAGGTAATGGTTTGGAGCCCATGGGTGTGAGTCTTTCTAGCTTATATTGTAGGACATGCTCTCCATCAAGGCTTCATCTGGTGTGGTCAAGCCAAGCAGTTGACCACAGTGTCCTTCTCTTCAGCTTCCGAGATGGAGCAACGTATGATTGGGGTTCATAACATGTTTGGCTCATATTTGGTTCCTATGCCTAGGTTTCTAGACCAATTTAGAATAGGAGGCATTGTGGCTACAGATTAATGGTGTTCTTAGTCAGTGTGATATTCCTGATGGAATCTGTAAGACCTGTGTAAGACCTATGTCCCAAGCCCTCTCCACTGCTGCTGGGATCATCTGCTTATGAAGGGTCTGTTTGTTTTGTACAAGGAGACTTTCTGGGCCAGCTTTTAGTTGTCTGTTTCATCCGTCCACTCACCTCCTGCTCATGTATTCATTGATCCTTCCAAACAAGTTCCAACCTTCCCTAGATGACCTTTGTCCTGCCCCTTCTGTGCCTACAAAGCTCCAAGGGAATTCTCAGGAGGGAGGAGATGGGAAACGGTTAAATGCCCTTAGAATCAAGGTGAGGCCAGTAGGGTTTGGAGTAAAGGGTGGAATCCTATTCATACAGGGACACTTGTGTCTTTTAGAGCTCACATGTAATGCTTATGATGGCTCTGCAACCATCCCCATCCCCCCCTGTAAGAACAAGCCTCCGCTTGACTTAGGGCAGGTTGTGTTGCTCCACAAGACCATGCCCTCTCCATCCTCCCCATCATACTCCATAGGAAGAGGCTGAGATGCCAAACTGTGCCCCTCTGTAGATAAAAGTTCCCAAAGAGTCATATATTTATAGCTATGCGTCTGTACAGAATACTTCATAACTTATATAGTAAATAGTGATTTGTTTTATAGTGTCTCATTTGGAAATGAGGCAGGGTTCTTTTATGTACTGTGAACAGAAAGAGTACCTTTGTATATTTTGTAATACTGCCTTTAACACAACTCTTGAGGCCACGCCACACCTCCCTGTAAATATGTAAGTTACATTCCAGGAGGTGGCTTTGCCCTCTGTTGATTACTTTTTTTTAAAAAAAAAAAAAAAAGATGGAATCCTTGTTCCTGTGTTAATTGTATATTAAACTGGTTGAGAGAAGGGAGAAATAAAAAAATCACACACCCCCCCCTCATAAGTGTGCTGCCTCCAATTGCAGGGTACTGTAAGCATGAGGTATCCTTACTCAAACCTCACCATGTACCACCAGGGGAAGCTACGTAGCTTGTGGGGTCCCTGGTGATACAGGATTTAGTCCCACCTTCAGTTTTCTCTTTTCCAGGTCATGGAGATCAGTTACTGAGAGCTAAGTAAAGCATAGCATTTTGTGGGTTAATGAATGTTACTGGGTTTGGAAGATTCCTGTGGAAATTTTGAAATCTCACAGCTGATGTTTTGAAGCTGTATGCAGGCTATCTTCAGTCTTGTTTTAAAAATTCCACATATAGGAGAGAAGGAAGGGGAGGGGGCAGTGATTGGATGTAAATTGAATAAGTAAAAACATTTAAAAATAAAAAACAAAATTCCAATACAGTAAATGATGTTGATTATTTGGCTTGGACACCAACAAAATGTACACTGCAGACTTCCAACTTCAGCAGGTGAGCCCTGGAATCTCTTCGGTTTCTGTGTATAACCTGGACCAAGTGAAAAGGCATGTTTACCTCCTGGCAACTCAAAAGATGCTGGGCTCATAGGCCCCACCTTAGCCAGAACTGAGGGAGGGTAATTTACTTACTACTATAGCACACCACTGACATTATGCTAAAACAAGTGAGTAATACAGTTTGAGAGCTGTCTGGCAATCTTCCCCACAGTAGACAGGAGGCTCATTCTGAGGGAATTTAACCAAAGGAACCCTGGGAACAGTGTCTACACTTGAGAATCAGTCATCTTGCTGTGTGACAAGCAACCCCAAACTCAGTGCTATACAACACCACTTCATTGGTTTACACTAGTCTTCAGGTCTCAGAACAGTTCCATGCAGACTGAGCATGGAAACAGTTCTGCCCATTTTCTTGCGGCATTTACATTGGATTGGGCTTTATAAGCAATATATAGACAAAATAATTCAAAGTGTACTGGAAGATGTGTGTAGCACTAAGCAAAATGGCCCCATTGTACAGAAGAATGGAGCCGCTTGGATTTTGCTGTGGTGGGCCAGAGGTGGTCTTAGAACAAGTCTTCACTGGGGATCCCAGGACAGCGACTCTTAATAATCACAACAGGACAAGGCCAGTTTCAAAAACTGACACTATCAGGGAACTAGGTGCAGAGTTCAGGCCTCCAACAGAGTTCAGCATCGCTATACAGTGAGATTTGGCCCCAGCAGCCTCTTCAGCTGGCCTGGAGCTGCTGGCAGTGTAAAATGCTGTGCATGCGTTCTGGCTGAAGACAGCCCAATGGGATGAAAAGTAACTTATGTGTAAGGAGCCTATAAGAAGCACATGAGCCGGGCAGTGGTGGTGTACGCCTTTAGTCCCAGCACTTGGGAGGCAGAGGCAGGCAGATTTCTGAGTTCGAGGCCAGCCTGGTCTACATGAACTGATATACCCTGCATCTAGAAGATGTTTTAAAACAGGAATATGAAAGTCTCACTAACATTTTATACTGAGTACTTGTTGAAATTACAATATCCTGGATAGTTTGGGTTAAATTAATTCATCTACTTATTCAGAGGATGGATGTTGGATCCCCTCAAGCTAGGTGTGGGTGCTTAGAACCAAACTCAGATCCTCTGTGAGAGGAACAAGTGTTTTTAACTGCTGAGCCATCTCTCCAGTCTTATACTTATTTGATTTTTGAGACAGGATTTCTCTGTGTAGCCCTAGCTATCCTGGAACTTGTTCTATAGACCAGGCAGATCAACCTGCTTTTGCCTCCTGAGTGCTGGGATCAGAGGTGTGTGTGTGTGTGTGTGTGTGTGTGTGTGTGTGTGTGCGTGTGCGCTTGTGTCTCCACCGCCACACAGCCTCTTTGTTTTTCAGACAGGGTCTCGCTCAGACTTGCCTGGAACTCTGTGTAGTAGATCAGACTTGTCTGAAACTTATAGCAAAGGAATGCTGGGATTACAGTAGTATGCCACTACACCACACCTGGCTCTTTTTCCTTTTAAAATATGGCTACCAGTACATTTCATTGCACACCTGACTCCATGGTACATTTCTGATACAGGAAGCACGAATGATAAAACCACAAGCTTAACCTACCAATGTGTTGGAGTCTTGTTTCCTTTAAATATGAAATGTGGCTTTTCTAGTGTTCCTAGAGCATTCTAAAATTAATTTTACACCATTCAACAAAGAAACTTTCCTCTGTATTATATGCAGCTAGGATCGATGAAACTACTCAACCTCATGAAAACATAGGTATTCTCTCCCCAAAATATTTTTATTAGTGATAAGATCAAGATGCCTTTAATCCCAGGAGACCCTGACAGATAGCTAATAGAGATGGCACCTATCCTTGTCTGTCACAGTAAAAACCTGATAGCCTCATAGCAAGACATCATTCAACAAGACATTTTTCTTGAGACTTTTAGCTTAAGGGAGGTTTTTAAGGTCTCATCTGAGATGTGGCAATTTGAAGTCATTATTTTCCTTACTGTCATTGTATTTACCTCCCTACAAAGTTGCATACTTCTAAGATTTTAAAGATGTGCCAGTGTTACACATTGACTAATTGCCATATGAATTAGACACTTTGGAGAACTCTAGGGCACTATCAGTCCAGCCCACAAGGATGTTAGTTCAGATAACGATGGCTATGTGACCTTCGTTCAAATTCACCTGTTGACATGCCTCGAACACTAGTGATGATAAAAATCTATATGGCTGTGCTCCTGGGAGTGTGCCCAATGTGGTGACTGGGAGAAATGCTATATTCATTACATTATCAGTGTGTTGAGAGGATGACCAAAAATCGGGAGCCGTTAGTGTCAATGAAATAGAGACCAGGCCTGAAGAACCTCCGAGCAGATAAAGCTAGTTAGATTTCATCCGTGACCTAAGCCTTGTCTGATTGGCACAAACTCATGCAAAAATTAACATCAGCGTGTTTGTTTGTTTGTTTACTGAGGTCCAAGAATGCAGCTGCACACATTCTGACTACATTCTCTGTGACCTTAGTCCCCAAGCTGTTTCTTATAAATGCCCATATTGGTATCCAATCTAGGTATAAATGCCTATATTGAGATGGCTCAGCTGGTGGAGGCTCAGCCTGAAGATCTGTGTTGATACCTGGAAACCATGTATGGGAAAGGTAGAAGGAGAAAATTCACTCCACAAAAGTTGTCCTCTGATGTCAGTATAAGCACCACAGTACATTCAACCCTCCTTCCTATGTATTATGAATATGTGTGCATGTGTGTGCATGTATGTGCATACACATACACTAATAATAATAAATAAATGAATAAATAAGTAGATAGATTTAAATGCCTACATGAAGAAAAACAACTCTTTTTTTTTTTTTTTTTTTTTACCATTCAGA